TTAACAAGTATTTCTGGAGCAGGTGATATGTGAAGGTTTCCTAGCAGGCCTGGAGGATATGTCAGTGAACAACCCAGACATGATCCTTGGCCCTGCGGACATTATAGTTTTATAATGGCATTAGAGGAACATTCTCCTGGTTTATATTATTTTTATGCACTATAAATTAAAATATGATCTATGTGGGTGGAAGAAGAAGGAAGACAGGAATCTATGGGAAAATCTTATAGAGGATCTGAAATTAGGCTACGGTTCAGGAACTTCAGGCAGACTCCCTAAGGAAGTGAAAAATAAGGTGAGAAGCAAACAGTGTGGTAGTTAATTGAAGAATTGTGGTGCATGTGTGTTCTGAATAAACAGAACATACAAAAAATATTTGAAGATTTGACAGAAGCCAAATATTTCCAAAACCAGCTGATAAAGATTTGAACAAAGAAATGAAATAATTGTTTTGTGCATGTTAAAACGACCATTGTAGGGCTGGGGATTTAGCTCAGCAGCACTGCACCTGCTTTGCAATGCAAGGTCCTGAGTTCGACCCCCCCCGTACCAAAAAAAAAAAAAAAGACCATTGTGTCCTACCACATAGGGAGGCCAAGCAAAGCTACACAGTGAGGCCCTTCTAAAACAAACAAACAAACAAAAATAAAAAAATCATTGAGGAGAAAAAATTAGAGAAAAGTACAAAAGAAATGTTTTAAAAATGTGCATCAGGTTTTTTTGGGGGGGGGTACCAGGGATCGAACTCAGGATCTTGGGCTTGCAAGGCAGGCGCGGGGACCACTGAGCTAAATTCCCGGCCCCTATGAGTTTTAACCCACTCTGCTATTGTGCTTAGAGTCTTTTACTGGATTCCTACCTTTTGCCATGGCCTCTGATCCCCTTGGCTCAGTTTCCCTGCTCACTTCAACTCCTTTCCACTTCCTTACAACTTATTCTGCTGTACCACACCAGCCTTGTGGTGCTCTAATTCAGTGTTCCCCATAAGGACTTTGTATTTGCTAGTCCTCTCTCTGGGATGCTATGAGCTATGACCCCAGAGTCACAAATTGGCTCTGTCTTTATTCCAACTAAAGCTCAAAGGTTATGTCTTCGGAGCAGCTTCCCTTACATTACTATCTGATATTAAGTTCCTCACATACAGTTATCGGTACTTTAATCTATTTATTGGGTTGCCAGCATCACCACTACTACCTTTGTTCATTTAATGACTATAACTTCCAGGACTTCAGGGACTCTGCTTTGTCCCAGAACCAGGAGCAGTGGCTGGGATATAGGAGTCATTCAAAAAACAATTGTGATGTGTGGGACTCCATGGAAGAGGCCATCTGAAAACCATGCTGAAATGGTCCACGTAAGTTACCGGTGACCTGGATGAGGGTGATGGTAACAGAATTGGAGGAAAATGAAAATAGGGAACATGTATTTCTCAGGTTTAAAAAAGTAAATCTTTTTTTTTTTAACCCTTTCAAAACATTTTTAGTGTTTTACAAAATGCTCACATTACAAATATGAAAAGCTTTAATACTCTTATAACTTCTGCTGCAATAAATGCAACATTAACATATGAATTTTTTCTGTACCAATTTTAAAAGTTGAATTACATACTAGTTTTTATGATGTTATTCACATACATTTTATTTATACACTTTTAATGAGTTCACTGCCAATACACACATTATTTTCCTTAACTTTATTTTTACATTAAGTCAGTATCTGTCACGCGGCCATCAAAAACCTTACAGTAAATTACACAAGGTTATAGTCCAGTTTTAACTCTAGCTTCTTAGAATCAGCATTTTCTGACTGCTTTCATGAAGTCTTCCTGAACTACAAAATCATGATCAGCACAAATTGCAAACATACCTTCTTCAGTACAAACATTTCTCAGGTCTACTCCTTTTTTTTTTTTTTTGGTATTGGGGATCAAACTCGGGTCCTTGTGCTTGCACAGCAGGCAGCGAAATCACTGAGCTAAATCCCCAGCCCTAGGTCTGCTCCATTAAAGCCATCTGAAAGTTTCACAATTGCTTCATAATCTATTTTACCATGCTTTGTAATGGGACCTGTATGGATTTTCAATATATCTAATCTTGCTTGTTCATTTGGTAAATCAATATGTATTTTTCTATCTAATCTTCCTGGACGTAGCAATGCAGGATCCAGTGTATCTGGTCTGTTTGTAGCCATGATCATTTTAACTCTATGCAGAGTGTCAAGTCCATCCATCTGATTCAGTAACTCCATTAAAGTTCTCTGAATCTGTCAGCTGAAGTACCCTCAGAAAACCGATGACCACCAATAGCATCTATTTCATCCATAAAAATGATGCACGGCTGATGGTCCCTTGCATAATTAAACATTTCTCTAATCAAACGAGCACTTTCACCAATGTACTTGTCTACAATAGAACTAGATACAACCTTTAAGAAATTGCAGTCCAGCTGGCTAACAACAGCTCGTGCCAAGAGTGTTTTTCCTGTGCCTGGTGGTCCATATAACAAACAGCCTTAAAACAGTAAATCTTAATGACTTGTTTTTAATGTAAGAAGTAAAGGAATGGTAGGAGAGTCCAGGATGGTTCCTGGGTTTCTGGTTTGAGTGCATAAGTGGACATGTCACTGACTGGAAGGGGAATGCTGAAGAGGGTGGTGCTGAAGACTGAGTTCAGTGTTGGTTGTGTCAATAAATTTGAGATTGTTAGTACAGACATTCTAAGTGAATCATGGGAGCAAACTAGGTCGATTAGGAGAGAAACAGGAAAAAAGACAGAGGTGGAGCCCCCAAAGGAGGTTGAGGTGGAGTAAGAAGAGAGATAGAAGAAACTCGTTTAGTATTGAGAAAGCTGAGAAAATAGGCTGACAGGGCAACTGACAATGGGGCAAAGAGACTAAGCAATTTAGGAATGTGGGAATCTCTGGTGACCTCAGTGACCACTAGAAAATGAAAAGAATACACTTAAAGATTCTAGCTGATTGAGTGGGAAATGAGGTACTAAAATGTGAAGGTGTAGACAGGTGTTTGAAGAGCTGCAGTGGGAGAAGGATGGAACAGTGACTGGAAAGGGAGGTTGGATCCACAGTATATTTTCTAAAGGTAGAAAAATCCAAGTGTGCTAATGCTGATGAAAGGAAGCTAATGAAGGAGAAGGTACTGAAAACAGATGCCAAAATGAGAAGGAAAACCCTGAGTGGACAGAAAATGAGACTGGTCTAGGACAGGACGGGGGACATCACTTTTAGATTAACAGGAGGCAAGTGGAAAGAATAGGTGCAGAATAGGTCCATCTCCAGGTCAGGTTAGACTGCTTCACCAACAACTGGTCCTCTGTTCAATGGAGACAGAGGTAGTCATGTTAGGAATTTTGGTGGTGGGGAGCTGAGTTAATTCTTTCTCTGTAAAACTGAGGGTAAGTCATCCATTGAACGTTGAATGGAGGCCTGAAATAATAGGTGGGAGTGGGAGAAGCACCCTAAAAAACAGAGGCACTGTCATGCACAAGAAAAGGATTAGTGTATATAAGGTACCTGGTTTATAACACATACTGTGTTTTCTCGAAAACAAAACCTAACCAGAAAATAAGTGGTAGTCATTACCATGGTGATGTCCAGTGTCATGCAGAAGACTGTATCTCACTAATCTCTTGCTCAGTGGCTACTCTATAATGGCAGGTAAGGAAAGGTGATTGGGGCTAGCATTTTTGATCTGTAATTTTCAATGCTAATTATTTTCTGGTCAGGTCTTATTTTTGAGGAAACGGCTAGTTACTCAATATACAATATCTATCAACATTATTTGCTTACTCATAAGTTTAAGGCTCTACCAACATTGTTATTCCTAATATTGACCAATATTTCACACTTCCTAGCCAGATAGAAGAGTGCTATATAGAACAGATTACAATCCTTATCAGCTGGGCATGGTACAGGATCTGTAGCCTTAAAATACATACTAATAAATAATGCCATAACTTTAAGTCACCATTCACCACGTTATGTCTGTTATTAGTCCTTACATTTTTTTTGGTACCGGGGATCGAACTTGGGACCTAGTGCTTGCAAGGCAGGTGGAGGAACCACTGATCTAAATCCCCAGCCCCTTACATTTTAACATATATTGGTTTTCTCTCATCAATTAGAATAAGTTGCTTGAGAGGCAAACTATATTATAAGTCTATATATCCCTCAAAGTTTCTTAAACATAGTATTATTTATAAACTAATTTGTTTTCTGCTGGACCTCTGGTTATAACAGCAAGCAACTGTTTCCTTGCCTTAAAATGGTCAAACAGATTTGTACCTTCCTATTTCATCTGTGCAGCATAAAACTTCTAGGAGCTAAGAAGTATGAATATGACGATCCACAACAGGTACTATTCAGTTTTCACGAAAGACCTTTTTCTTACCAAGACACACATAAAAAGTGTTAGCTGGTGGGCTGGGGATTTAGCTCAGTGGTGCCACCACCTGCCTTGCAAGCGGAAGGTCCCGAGTTCAATCCCCGGTACCAAAAAAAAAAAATGTTAGCTGGCTAGTACAACACACCCAGCAGTACACAGCTTCCTAGGGAAAGTTTGTATTTGTATGTGAAGATTCCCAAGTGGAGGTAAAGAAGGACATAAATCCTTTAGGAACCAGGCTAGATACATGTATCATTTGGCCAGTACTCACAAGAGGCCAAATTAGAAAAAATGTTGTGATCGTAAGCTTACCACAATTTTATTTCTCTAATACACTCGAGGAGTACATTCTAAAATATATAGGAATGGTGTTGTTCACCTTGAGTTCTAAACACCTTGGGGTTTTATCGTTGTCTTCTATGAAGACATTTCTAGGTAATGGGAATGTGGCAATACCAGCCAAGTGGATGGATAGAATTTCTGGTATAAAACAGGACGATTGGTGGTAGTTCTCTGTGTAAAACATATCTAAAACTGAAGGCTCTTTGGGGAGGAAATGAGTACCTTTTTCCCAACCCCCAAACTCAAAGAAAGAAATAGATCTTACATAGCTGAAAGTGAATGGTAGTAAAATAAACATTTTATTATATAACAGAAGTTTTCAAAAATTTACATCACAAAACCAAAAGCCATTCTGGGCACAATGAAAAAATTTTGAAATTGCAACTACCTTGCACTTTTCAGGAATCTGATCGGAAACAAATGGTTAAACATGCTGCCTATAGACAGAGTCAAACCACCATGACTACTATAGCAGCTGAACAAAGTGTGAGATACGGAACTTGAACTGCTGCCCTGATGGCAACTGAAGCAGATGAGAGAAGAAAGGAGCTCACAACCAGGATGCTCAAAATCAGGCTGGAATCCATCTATGATCCAGTTCCAGTCAGTCTGACAAGTCACTCTGATCCAGCACGATTATCCTGTGGACACAAGTTTTAAAGGTCAAAGAAGGGAGCTTCAAATTGATATGCACAAGTTTTAAAAATTCTTTTATTTTTTGGTACCAGGGATCGAACTCAGGTCATTGCGCTTGTGCAGCAGGTGGCGAAACCACTGAGCTAAATCCCTGGCCCCTAAAAATTCTTTTTATTGGGCTGGGGATTTAGCTCAGTGGCACTGTGCCTGCCACGTAAGCACAAGGTCCTGAGTTTGATTCCCCAGTACTGCCAAAAGAAAAAAATTCTCTTTATTATTATTTGCCACCCTGGAGATTGAACCCAGGGCCTTGTGATGATAGGCAAGCACTACCACCTAAGCGATGGCCCCAACTCAGTATGTATTCTTTTTTTGTTACTGGTTGTACATGTTTGCAATATATAATGAATACATTTCACTTTGGAGAGTTGGTACATGTACATACTGCATTTTAATCCTTTTCTCTTCCCCTCTCCCACTCCCTGCAAACTATCCCCTTCACATCTGTTAAAGGTCTACCTCCCTGTTTCCAATAATCTTTTATTTTGCTTTTTAAATTACTTACATTTTGGGTTTTTCATATAAGAGAAACCATGTGACATTGAACTTTCTGTGTCTGATTTATTTCACTTAGAATTATAATTGCAAGGTACATCCATTTTCCCACAAATGACTCAAATTTATTCCTTGCTATGGCTGAAGAGTACCCCATTGTGTATAAATATCACATTTTTAAAATTCATTCATCTGTTGATGAACATATAGGCTGTATCCAAGAGTTAGCTATTATAAATTATGCTGCTGTAAATATGGGTATGGATGTATCAGGATATATACTATGATGAGTTAACTTTTGAGGGAAGATACCCAGAAGGGGAACAGCTAGGTTGAATGGAATTTCTATTTTTAGTTATCTGAGGAATCTCCATACCGATTTCAATACTTGTACTAGTACGTACACTTTTCAAAGACACAAGCACCGCACCCTTTTTATTCAACTGAATTGAAGGGAAAGGGATTTTGATCTTTATAATCAAGGGAGAATATAATATGATCAGTGAATCATGGAAATGCCAGATCACTGCAAAGCAACTGACAGCAGCATCTTCTGTACTTCTGTATGTGAACCATTCTTATTCTGACTGTGATTTACTCAAAGTGGAGATTCATTTCACCTTACATTTTAATTAACTATAAACCTATAACTATAAATTGAGCAAAGCGGTCTGAAATTAAAGTCTTTGCCCATTGTGCTTATTCACACTAGTTAATATTTTAAGTGTGCCTGTGTGATCTCTAAAAAGGAAACTAAACTAAATACATATATCTCAGGGCCGGGGATTTAGCTCAGTGGTTCCACCACCTGCCTCACAAGTGCAAGGTCCCAAGTTCGATCCCTGGTACCAAAACAAAACCAAAAACCAAAACCAAAAAACATATATCTCATTACCTTGATGGTTCAGACCAACCCCGTCGCTTCCAAAAACAAGGTTTTAGTTCATCTTCATGATATATAAGAGGAAGAAAAAAAAGAACCCAATTACTTTCTAGTTAAAAAGTGGCAGAATTCAGAATTTACATGAGTGTTCTCTCTGGTGTAGACAGTTTTACCTGCATCAGTTATTTTATTTTTTTTGAGACAGTGTCTCACCATGTATTCAACAAGCTGGCCTTAAACTCACTACTTAGCCCAGGCTGGCCTCAAGCTCATGGCGATCCTTCTGCCTCAGGCTCGCAAGTGCTGGGAGGTATGTGCCTGGTGTTCTATTATATAGATATAGAATCTAGGAACATAGTTAATGGCTTCTCCTCTAACATTCTACAGCTCTCTGCCATAGAAATGGGCACTAATGGCACTAATTCATAAATTATCTTCTGAATTATCTTCTTAGTGATTCAATACTAGCCAAATGCCCCACACACTGGGCCCTGTGCTAATCAGGGGTTGGAGGAAAGAAAATGTACCACTGGACAATACAGAGAAAAATTCTTTAATGAAGTGACTACATATGAAGGCATAGTTAGAGTTAAAGGAGCAAACAAGGAATGGCAAGGCATCCAGGGATGGGCAGCAGTGGAAAGCCAAAGTCTAAAGGGACTGAGGGGTAGGAGTGGGAGGACAGTTATGGAAACCAGGGAAGACAGCTGGAACTGGGAAAGACAGGGTGCCATACAGAAGCTGTACTTGGGGAGGGCCAGCATATCTTCCAGACACAAAGTACTGGAATAGTCAGGGAGGGGAGGTAAACCCTATCCTCTCTCTTGCCCTTTGATCTTTTGCCAGGCCTTCCCATTGGCCAACAGGAAGCCAGGGAGAGGCAGTGCACTGGGGTCAGCATCCTGGGCAAAAGTTGGACAGAGAAAGATCAATGGAAAGGGACTGAGGAAAGGATAAAGGGGTAACAGATGACCTGAAAGAGTTAATATTGGTAACTTCCTGAGTAGAAGAAACAAAACTTAGGAGGGCATCATTTGTAAATGGTGTATCAGAAGCCTAAAGCTCCTATAATCCTAGCACTCAGCTGAGGCATCCAGCTCCCTGCTACTGAGGCAGGAGGATCACCAAGAGCTCAAGGCCAAGCTGGGCTCCATAGTGAGTTCAAAACCAGTCTGAATTATAGAGCGAGACCCTGTCTCAAAAAAACAAAACAACCCCCCCCAAATGGCTAAAATTTGAAATTAAGGTTAATTTACAATTTTCATATCACTTGTAGACCCCAATTAAATTCCATAATATATAATTTTTTTGTACTGGGGATCGAACTCAGAACCTCATGCTTGCCAGGCAGGTGATATGGTGCTGAGCCAAATCCCTGGCCCCATAATATATGATTTTTTTTTTTTTTTTTTTGGTACTGGGGATCGAACTCGGGTCCTTCTGCTTGCAAGGCAGGCGGCGAAACCACTGAGCTAGATCCCCGGCCCAATATATGATTTCTTATTAGATTCTGCACCATCTGGATGAGGTAAATTTAAAACTCTTTTGCAGACGTTAGACAATCAGAAGCTAAGCAGCTCTCCAGACAATATGCAAGATGCTGATGATACTGGCCAATAGCTTGTTTTTGAAAGAACTAAATTAGTTGATGATTGGCAGTTAACTGCAAGTCTAGACTGAACTGCAGGGAAAAATCATGAACCACAGAAAGATTACATATAGTATCTCAGAAACATTTCTTAGTAACTCTGATCCCCACCAAGCCCAAGGATGGCAGACTACGTTATAAACAATTCTTCATTCATACCTTCGTCACAAATCCCTAAAAAGTTCTCTGATTTCCTTATCTCTGGCTTGATGCTTTCTTTCCTTTTGGTCCTCTTTTCACCAAAGTCTTGATCCTTGGTTTCTGCGTCCCTTTAATACGAATGATTTGGAGCATTAAACCACACGTCTAAGATCCAGGGTAGTTAGCACTATGGGTGTGTTCTCTGTGGGCCAGGAATCGGTTTATTATTCTTTCTTTGTTTTTTTTTCTTTCTTTCTTTCTTTCTTTCATTTATTTATTTCAGTGGTACTGGGGATTGAATTCAGGATCTTGCACTTGCGAGGCAGGTACAGTGCCATTGAGCTAAATCCCTGCCCCTAGCAGTTGATTTATGTACTATAATGTATGTTAACTCAATTCTCACAACTACATGAAGTAGTTACCACTACCATTCCCATTACCCGATGAGGAAACTGAGGCACAGAGAATTTACACATGTAGTGAGTCCTAGAGCCAGGATCTACATGGACAGCCTAGCTAATCAGACTCTGCTTTTGTCTACTAACTTATATAGCTAGTCACAATGAGAAAATGTATTTTACTTATATACCACTGGGCATACTCTGGAAAACCATAATTTCTTTTATCATCTTATCTTTATTTTCTGAAACTTCCTCTGGTATGAAATGTCTAAATGATGTTGAGTATCTCATAGTTTAAGACTACATTTGTTAAACTACCAAGCAGAATCTGTCTCCTCCTCTCAACTATATGTTCCTTGAGGCAGAGATGTCTCTTCCTCTCTGTGAAACTCCAAGTCCAAGCTGCCTCACTAGTAGTGCTCAAGAGATGCTGGCTGAACCAAAGTAAACACTGTTCTAGGCTTCTTTTTCTGTTCTTATTTCATGGGCAGTCAAAGCAAGATATGTAAAATGAAAGGGGATGGGTATGCAGTGCAGTGGTAGAGAACTTACCCAGCATGTATAAGGTCCTGCATTCAATCCTCACACAGCAAATAAGAGAAAAAAGAAGAAAGAAAGCTAGCTAGCTATGATGAAAGGGGACTTCTCCCCTCTTAATCCACACTGAGAGAACTGCAGGCTCAAGAGAGGGTTATATTCTACTTCCGTCCAAATACAAAAACCAGAGTCATCCAGTCTCTGCTGAGCAGCAGCCTCCACTTTGGAAGGGAAAAGGCAGCTGCTTCTCTGATCACATGGTTGTAACCAGGAGAAAGTCTGTGCTCTACTGAATAAAGGTCTGCTACTCTGCAATTTCTAGTCAGCAGCTGTGTCCTTCAGGGCAGGAGAGAGTAAGCTGACTCTGGTCACTTCATAGTACTTCAGGCACGTGAGGGAGGCTATCGGATTCTCCCCTCCATCTGCTCTTCTCAGGCTGAGCCTCCCAGCTCCTTCAGCTGCTCTCATCGACCTGCTCTGTGGCTATGCTCTTCTGTTTGTTAAGATTCCTGTTTAAATGTGACACCCAAAGGGAGCTCCACATTGTACCCTAGGAGTCCACTTAAACAGCATATTACCTGTCTCACCCATCACCTGGATCTGGACAGTACATTTCTGTCTGTGCACAATTAATGCTGCATTGACATTTTCATTAACCGTATAAACCTGAGGCCTCAGAGTCATAGCTCTGCATTGTTCAAGAATTTCTGGAATTCTTAGCATGTTTCAAGATGCATGTAAAGTGCTGGGCATATAAAAATAAGACTTCCTGCCTTCAATGTTATTATTGAGGAGAGGCTTCCAATTCAAAAATTTCCATTCAGAACAGGTGTCTAGAGACGGGCGTGGTGTCGCACACCTGTAATCCCAGCACTCGGGAGGCTGAGGCAGGAGGATCACCTGGAGTTCAAGGCCACCATGGGCTACATAGTGAGTTCAGGCCCAGGCCCAGCCTGAACTACAAAGGAAGACTCTGCCTCAAAAAACCAAAAAACAAACAAACAAAAACAAAACAAAACAACAACAACCACAAAAGAACAGGTTTTTAAGGATTTTATGCTGTGGGATCTAAAACTTTTGGATTTTTCCTTTTTTAGGTGGGTCTCCTTATGTTGCCCAGCCTAGCCTCAAACTCCTGGGCTCTAACAATCCTCTGGGCTCAGCCTCCTGAGTAGCTGGGACTACAGGTGTGCACCACTGTGCCTAGCTTTACTTTCATCTCTTAGTGTCTAACATTTCTACCTGTCGAGATCACTTTGGATCCTTAGTCTATCATCCATCACATTAGAGTTCATCCTGAGATTTGTGTTTTCTCAAAATCTGATAAGCATGCCTTTTCTGATTTAATTCAAATGATTGATGAAAATGTTGAAGGTGGCAGGACAAAAAAGCATTATCTCACAGTCCTGACTCTGCCTGAAGTGCCATCTGTTAATCAAAATCTTGAGCACTGTGAGTGGTGGAGGAAGAGGAGCATGCGGGAGCGTGTAGAGAGATGCAGTCAGGGCTGCCTAGCTACAGCGGTGTAATGCCATTCAGACACTCATCTCCCAGGAGAGACCTCGCTCCACTTCCTGAACAGGAATCTAAATCTAATACTTCTGTACCTTAGGCATGTAACATGTTCTTTCCCCTGTAAGAGAAGAAAGAGGTTGAGGAGGAAGAGGAGAAAGAAAATAATCCCCTAATGGGGACCAATAACCTTTTAAAGACTTTGCAGAGGTCCTGTAGCTCTATGTTCTTCTCTTCAGGTGGCTGTAGCCATCTTTCCAAGTCTTCATCAAGAGTAGAGTGAGCTCTGTTCAAGAACAAGTGAAGAGAATGAAGACAGTCATTGTCTCTGACCCTTGACAAGGAAGCATAATACTTTAGAGTGGGAAGAAACCCTAAAAATCAGTGCTTTCACTATATAGCTGAGAAAACAAGTGCTTGGTGATATTGTGTCTATTATCATAGTGGTTACTTAGATCTGATTGAAATGTACAACAAAATAGTTGTTTAAAGCCAAGCATGGTGAAACACATCTGTAATCACAGCATGTTGGATGCCTGAGGTAGGAGGATCACCAGTTAGAGCCCAGATTTGGAAGTTTAGTGCCTTTGTGAGATGCTATCTCAAAATAAAACAATAAAATGATCTGGGGATATAGCTTAGTTCAAAGGCTTTAGTTCAAATCAGAACTGTAACAAACAAACTTTGATCCCGGTTCCGAACAAAACAAAACAAACAAACAAACAAACATGTTCTTTAGCTCTTTGATAAAAGGTCTGGCATCTATGAGATCAGCCCAGCTCTTCCCAAAGTCCAATGCTGACTTTGTTGCAACTCTTAAGTCATTAAGTTGATTTCCCCCCAGGTTAGAACTGTACACACATTCCCTATGTTTTGCTAAGAACTGCCTCTAAGGCTAGAGGATGAGAATATGGACTTTTAAGAAGGCCTGAACAGTTCCCTCTTTGTGAAAAAAACCCCCAAACCCCTAAACTTCCCCTCTAGCTTTGTGCCTATGACTGAGCATTCACTTCACTCAGAGGTCTGAGCATCTGTGGAATAATTATCTGTGGCCAACACCAGCAGCCCTTTCAGAAAAGTGGCGAAGCCCAACCGACCTCCAATGCTGCTTGACAAAGTTCCAGCTGGGGGAAAGAAAGGGTAGAACACATCGTACCCTCATGTTTTATTTTTTCTTGCCATAATGTTTATAATTGTT